ACGGTATTCCAAGATCAGTGGTGTTTTTCGTTATCCTGTTCAGGGCCCGTTACGGTTTCTGTTCGTACATACAACTGACGACTAATCGAGATACAGATATTGGAGCGCTGTGGTAAATACATTAGCTTTAAAGAACCAATATAGGGAAAAAGCAAGTGGCCAAAATGTGAGGATGTATGAGGCACAGGGCATTCGAACAAAGTCTCCTGAGCCTTCCCAATCGAACCAGACTGGGAGATTTTGAAGATGGTTTGATCAGAAAATGTTGTCTTCTTTCGAGTTCACTATCCCTGGTTCTCATCACGTCTAGGATAATTTGGCCCATGCTGACTTGAGAAATGTACGGCAGTAACTTCCCCTTCTTCCGAAATCGAGATCGATATAACGCTCGAGCAATTCACCTTCAGCTCCCTGGGAAACTCAACACGAGTATTCTTCCAAGAAAGCCTTGTTGCAGTCCTATCAAATATCCAGACACCCAGAAACGAATATTCGTGGTGTCTTCTACTTTGCCCCCAGCGGATTGTCCTGGCGGCTCACCCTTTCCCCCTACCACCCTACGAGAACACGGCAGAGCGGATCAGTTCCATTCGAAACCTGGCCTCGGACTCACTAAATACCACTCGAGCTCTGCGCAGCGAAGTTTGGTCTTGGGCGCTCTTGGTAGGCGTTGCATTGCTCGAAGACTGGGCGTGCTCATTAATGGATACAGCCCACGACGTCCACGAGCTTTCCTCCGAGCTGACAGTGGTCCAATTCCATCGTGAGAATACTGAATTATGTTACCGCCCATAGCAAGGCTTCAGGGATGTGCTTGCTTCAGCGCGCTCTGAGATTTCACTGGCATTGTAAATCCAAGCGCATGGATGATGCCAGAGACCATTCAGCTGCGACTCCATGATGGAAGGAAGGAAACCGGGGTTCATAGAATCGGCTACATCGTGATAGAGATGGAGGTAAAAAATATTCTTAGTAACCGTCATCAGTTGGAATTGATGCTACTGGTTGTTGCCACTCTCCGGCCTTCAATTTAGTTCAATGCAAGTGAGCATGTTCGTAACCTAGTATCAATAGACAACAAGAAAAAAGTACCGATATGAACTTAAATCATCCCACTTGTAAAAGGACCTTCTCCTTTGTCATTGTATAATTCAGCTAATGAAAGCCGGGTGAGAATGCGTGTAAGTGAACTGGCACCTTTTTTTCTCTAGGGTAAGCATTGGATCTCGACATGACGGAGGCAACCACCAAATGGACCAAGTAGAACAAGTCCCTGGATACTCCGTCAACGCCCATTCAACAGTGTACCAATTGGGATCTGGAGCCAAAAAAAAACCTAAAAACTTATGTTATGTGTTGTTTGTCGCGTAGTATCTCGTAGTTCATGGATCTTCAGGAAATGAGCCAAACGGGGTCAAAAGCTTGGTTTCATCACTACTATGTTCGGGATGCAAAAAGGCTTGAGGCCTTTGATCAAAGGACCAAAGAATGACCAGTTAAAGAGACTACAGGGTTCCCCATAACCATCAGAGACCGATCTAGACACTTCTGGTCGAAATCTCAAAATTTCCTCAATCCCCGAGCCTGTATTGGATCAAACCTGGAGTGAGAGACAATCTCTCGTGTAAGTATGGAGACCGGCACGAACTCGGTGATTATCTATCTGAGGATATCGCGCTTGGTAATGGATATCAAACAGCGAGGGCCGCTTCATCATCAGTTTCCACTTTATGGGATTTGATGACAAAAACAGAGAGAGGTCAATGCTACTAGATACGAAGCAAGGGAGATGAGATGGGATAGACGGGACCTGGAAACTTGGAAGAGGTCACAAGAACAGAATGATGCATGTAAGGAACTCGTCGTCACTTCCAACTTTTGAGCTGTCCCTTGTGGCAATGGAAATGCACGAGGCCATGAATGAGCTGCATACTCTTTATGGTGCGTGGGTCAGGGACCAGGGTAACAGTGATGATAACATGGACATTATACGATTGAGCCGAGGCATGAGAAAGGGTCTCTTGAGATCGTTTGAAGCTAAGAGATTGACAGCTGCCTAGAACTTTCTGGCGCTTAACCCGCGGCAATGGTAAAGATGAGACTGAGACTGAGACTTCACTGATGGAAACAGTGACACAATCGAATGGATAGAAGGCTTCGATTCCAGGGCGGCTTCTTCCATCTTCCCCACAGCGGGCACCCCTCCCTGGAGCCCAGATGCCAGAACACTCAGTCGGCATCCAATGAAAGTTGCCCGACGCTAATCGCGGATACTTACCCGGGTCGTGTCTTTCCAATCTTTAGGTTTGTTGCTGCAGGGCGCGGATCATGGGAGTGCTCGCCCGGACTTCAGATACAGGGGCGCTTGGTCCTTGGGCCGCGCTTTCCAGTCATTAATTCACATTCTGCGACAGCCAAGCAGGGTCGTGCGTACGACCTTACATGCAACTTCCCTACTTGGGCTGGAAATGAAAGGGAAGGCAAGAGGGAAAAAACAAATTGCCTTACCTTAAGGCTGGCTTCTCGGCCATTAGGGAGGCTCAGCCTCAGGACATTCACGATCCGTCCCGTATTTGTCTTGCTTCATCTGCTCCATTCTCCCCTTGTCTCACTCAAAATTCATCTGTGACGCATTCACTTGTGGCATCTTTCATCCGTCACCGGCCCTTCGTCTTTCCTTTACAAGCGCATTCGTACACCGTTAATGTGCGGTATCATCCAGTTCAGCTTGTCACACGGACACTTTGTCAATTCTGACTTGACAAACAAAAGAGAAGCCGCCGAAACTACAGTCACCAAATGGACAAGCCTCAAAGCCCGCCAGTCACACTTATACCAGTCCCAGTCGCCAAATCCAGAGACCAACCGATGGATCACGTCTTCAAAGCCGTAAAGTGGTCTGAGGAAGAAGATGAACGGCAGCAAAACGAGAGACGCTTGTAAGTTCTTGCTCTGACTCCTTCTTGAACTCGTCTGACATTGAGCTCAGATCCCTCGAGGCCCAAGGGCAAGACAAGGTCACCCGCTGGATGAGAGACGGACTACAGTACGGGTAACCCCATCTCTCATGCGTCTCTACCTGTCTTTTTCATTCTCTGATGATCCCCAGGGTTCTCTATTGCGATCTTCTGCCAGACATCTCCAGCGTAGTACGCCCAGTTGACAAGTCCGGCAGTTACATGGGCATGCTGCCATGGTGGAACCCGGATTATGAGTCTAGTACAACTCTAACAACTACCGAGAGAGTTTCCCCGATTCCCCAGGTCAAGGCCCCGTTGTCTCCTGATGAGCAATATACCGACGACATCAAACGCGAGAGGGCGTTCCATGACCTACTGACCAAAGCTGGAGGACGCCCCTGGTATTCCAGCGAGCTCATTGACCAAGTCGCCCAGAATCCAGAAAACCATGCCGAGCTTCTTGAGTACTGGAAACAAGACGCTGCCGGATCAGGGACGCAACAATGGATGGTGTTTGAACGTCAGTTGGAAAGGTGGAACCAGTTTTGCCGTTATCAGCTGAGAGTTAGACGAAACCGGGACACATTTGACGAATACCTGGCGCGATGTACTAAGTGCCTCTCTAAACAGTCCTTCACCACGCTACTTCATATGAAACAAGATCCGACAGACCAGGATCCATTATCACAATGGCTTGAGTATCTATGCTTTGAGGTGTCAGAACGCAAAAAGTACTCGTGGTATAAGCGCTATAACCAACAGTATGAAAGCGCCTGGCAGACACTCGTTGACTCCAATATGCTAGAATCGCACGAAGACCGAGATCAGATTGAAGCCGCAGGATATACATCATCACCGGATGGTGAAAGGACCAATCTAAGACAAGCTGTGGAGGTAGCCAGTTCAAGTGTCTTGTTAGCGGAACGGGATCTGCTGAACCCATGTGTCAGGGGAGCAGTAGCACAACGGAAGCTCTTTGAGGCCCAAGCCAAGCTTGACTCTGCAATGGAAGCGTTTGATTATTTCCAACGTCGGAAGGATGCGATCAAGGTGTTTCTCCAGACTACTTGTGCCTATCGCGAGGCAAGGCGTGGAGCCCAGAGGCACCAAGTGCTTTTACGATGGATGCGGCAGCAGGTCCCGTTGATAGAGGAGGATCTTGGTTTACCGCCTTCGACAGAACATGTGGGTGTGGATGACGAGGTGCTTTTGGAGACTGATAGCGACGAGAGCGACGACCAGAAGCTGAGCATTGACTCTTCTCGCACCCAGTTGATGGACGCACTTGCCGGGTTGCAACGGAATGAAAGCAAAAAGCGTCTTGCGAGTATTTCGGCTGAGGTTAGTCGGACGAACAGCAATGTTCCCCCGAAGCGATCCAAACATGTGGGCAATGATCAATACGAAGCGAGATAACAGGAAGAGATGATGGGTCACATTTATGTTTTTATGGGAATCTTTTGACTTGCTGCCGGTGTTATCTATTATGATTTTGAGGAGTTAAGAATCACTTGGATGTACGTGGCATGGTGGGCCTGTAAGAGCAGGAAAACGGAGTTTGGTCAAGCTTATAAGAAGCTGCATTAACCTTGTGAGATATGTGATGCTCACTGGCGATTTATCGAGACAATTTTCAATATTTGCATATATCTGAGAGATCAATCAAACTACATAAGTATGAATTTCTTGGCCGTGAAATTTAATACTCGAGATATCCATGCAGCCATGCTTTGCCACGGTCAACCCTAACCCATAGGTGTGATCCAGCTTCCACTAGCCACGTCGGAAAGGGTCCTGTGTTCCCACTTCCAATGGCAAGACCCCCACGACCCCTGTCGGTTCAATCTGAATTGTGCAGGCAGTTTGCAGCTTGTCCTCCTCCTTTGACGCCATCACCAACAGCTGCCTTACCAAGGCTGCCCCCCCTTGCGTCGACCTGATTTCTCTCCCCTCCTTTTTTTTTTTTGTTGGTCTTTGTAATTTTAGTTCCCACACAATTGATCGCGAATTGCTTCAGATGGCCTGAACGATCGATGTGAGATGGCCAATCCTCCCCCCGTTCGTCGGGGCTCTTCTACAGGCCATCTACCTTTACCTCCACAACCGCTTGCGCCCGTGACCTCGAAGTCTAGCAAATCTCCGCCGCCACCGCCCACGACAACGACAGCTCCTCCTGAGATCGATGGTCCCGTTCATCCTTCTCTTCTCCAGCCCCGTGTCGCCGTCGTTCTTAATGTTCCGAAGCCATGGCACCCGTGGCTTTTTGCCTTGCGGCTCTTCTCTATTCTGCCGGCGTTGTGGTGGGGATTGCCTTCTGCGCTTCAACTGCTGTTACGTGTCTTGCCAGGGCCAGAAATTGTAGTTGTTGTGCCTTCAACGACGGGAGGATCTGTGGCTATGAGTGTCGAGGCAGATCCGCGGTACGCCCTGACTGAGACTGGGCTCGCAACTATATGGGTGCGTTGGGAGATCCCTCGAGGAGATCGAAAGCCAAAAAGTGCTGTGCTGATATGCTCGACGTTGCTTAGTGTTTTGCTTCGGGATATTTATCATTCTTCTTCACAGACTGTCTGATGTCCAGATGGTAGGCTATCCCGTCATTCCTGTTGCGACCTGTCTCGCCATACACCACCATATTAACTAGCTCACAGGCTCATCAATTACACCCCACAAGCAACAATGGTTCGGCTGCTCACAACCAACTTTTGTAACGCATATCTCACTGCGTTTGTGCTCTCTTTCACGGGTGGTTTCCAAGACCCTCGTCTCCTCCTCCCAGGCTGGGTTGGCATAGCCACTGTATGTCTTCCCCGCACACGGCACTCACCGCAACCAAGGTTTACTAGCTAACAACTACGCCTCAGACTCTTACCATGATGTACCACATCACTCACCAAAAGATCAACATTCGCAAGGAGACGTCCACCTCTATCAACGTCTTCTCCATAGCTTGTTCCATCACCATGGTGACTCTGCTGGTACACCTTCATCAGTCCACACCTGACTACCCCCAGATGCCAATTGTAGCTTCTGGTCGGCGCGCCTTTGACGAGGCATCGCGCGTAATCACTCAGATCAGGGGAAGCATCGAGCAGCATGAAGACTTGTAGAACAGGACTTCACAGCTGTCTTCAGGCGAATGAAATGCCTCTGTATTTGTGTATGCATACGAGAGCAGGCGAACCGTTGTTATTTTCCTTAACGAATGACTTTCAGCGACTTTTTTTGTTTCTCTTGGAATTCCGATATCCCCGCCCACGCTAGGGCTGTCCATGTCTGATTATTCTGTGTGGCTGTAGCTGTAACCGAAAACTCATGTATACAATAGTCTGTAATATCCAAGCAGTGTGTAGCTTTGAAGCCTGGATTTTGGTTAGCACGACTCCAGTTGCCGTGCCTTACGGGTGGGCTCTGACGTCAATCTACCACCACAACTAGGATTGAAACAAATTCACATCAATTTTAAACGTCAAGGATTCGGAATCGACTTTGTATTTGCCTGAGACTACTGCGGGGCTTGCCCATGTAGACATATCTGACTAACGAGTGACTGACAAGCCATGTCTGAGTAACAAATGCTTTGCCCGTAGCCTCGTCTTCGTGCACGTGAGCAAGGTGGATGCCGAGAAGCTATCATCCACCTGCTGCAGAACGCGCAGCATAAGAATAAATACTCTTCCAAAAAAGCCACCAGGAGTAAAACTCGCCCTGAGTGGATGCCCGTCGTCCTAGAGTAATCGGAGCCGAGCCTCGGTGTGTCTGTTGCGAGAGCAAGAGAACACGTCCGGAAAAGGCACAAGCCGGGGAGGCCATGCGTCCCTGTCCCTCTACGTCAAGACGCCCGGGAACGGCGACTGACAGGACGACGGGGCATGCAGAGCTTTAGAAACCGTGGACCTTAATGGTCTTGGCATCTAGCTCGAGGCCTTCCTTCTTGTCGATGAGAAATTCCTGAACATCTTTGCGCTGATCACCCTGGAGCTGGATCACCTCTCCCATCTCGGAGTCGTTGACAATAGTGCCATTGCAGGCTGGTTCGCATTAGCCTCGTAGTCGGCGGCGGCGGAGTGTGGAGCTTACCAAACTTCTTCTTGATGACCTTAAGAATCTTCTTCTGGTCAAATTTCTTGGGGAGACCCTGAACAGTGGTCAAAGTCTTACGTCCATTACGCTCTGGAGACATGTTAGCATTGTACGCGAAAGCGATGCTACCTAGAGCCAGGTGTAACATGGATTCATTCAATCACACGGCAATCTCACGTGAGGTTGGTGTGTGATATGATACTTAATGCGCCCATGGCTAGCGAGGCTGGAGTAGAAGGTGACTTACGCTGAATGCGTATATGGATGTAATTCTGCGTCTGCTTGGTTTCTCCGGTGTCCTCGTCGGCTTCGGCGAAGGGGTCTAGTGTCGCGATGGTTAGTTATGGTGTTCCTCAAAATCGTATTTGTTGTGATGGGATATGGAGATGAGTGGAGATTCAACATGTGGCTTGGCGGCAACAAATGCAGGTACGAAAGGATGAGACGGCATGTCAATATCCGATAGTCGAGACGATCCGCGCAGATGAAGACCGGAGTCGGGGAGAAGATTTCTCAAGGGTAGCAGAGACTCACCGTAGGTCTTGAGATTTTCGATGGACATAAACTCGGAGGTACTGGGGTGACCTTGGGAAATGGGTTTTGTAAAGGGGAAGAGGATGTTTTCAGCGACCGCTGGCAATATAGCGCCTCGCTGTGGAAGTGTCGAGTAGTGCGTGTAAGCGATGAGGATGTCTAGCGACGAGGTTTGCAAGGTTGCAAAGTCTTTGGAGTTTGCGGGTATTTGTGTTGGTGACGTTGTTAGGGAGAAGAAAGAGTCGGGAGAGTTTGGTAGAAGGGGGAGGGGCAAAGATGAGTAAGTGGGCTTTAGGCTTTGGTGGGAGGCAGGAGGCAGCACGGGCGTGCCATTGGCTCACGTGTTGGCCTAAATATTCAGGCAGAAAGCCTTGTGAGATGAATTCGGTGAACATCCACTGTTATCTATGAATGGGGCTCTGAATCACACAGTGGCTAGGCGGTAACGCAATGGAAGTTGAAAATAGGTTATTGAGGGCAACTGCGAATAAAATATTCCTTATAATTTCCATTATTTATGTTACACTTTTGTTTATCGATTATTTTCAGAAGTACAAATTAGCAGGCAAGGCATTTTCTGGAAGTTGAAAATCGATGCGATATTTCCCACTGCCATTGGTGCAAGCAGTCATTCTCTCGAGCCGCGATATTGGCCAAGATCTACGGAGTAGCTTACCGGACGCTCCAACCAATACACGGCAGTCCAGCCCAGCCCAGCCACCGTTGGTCCTTTCTTTATTTCGGGAAGCCCGTTGAAAGCGGCAGATGTCTTACCCCCGAATCCAGCTTCCTTTGAATCGCATTCAATCGATTGAGGCCTGTTGTTGAGTGAAAGCTCACCGGGTACCTTATGGCGTTCCGTCTCTAGGCACATATCTTGGAAAGGTAGCATTTGTCGGGCATTTTGTTGGCTGGATGCACTGCGCCTTGGTACATATTGTGATATGATACCTGTGATTTCATCGTCCTGTGCAGTCCTTGTTCAACTGAAAAGTACGGCGTTGTGTTGTATTGCATTGCGTTGCGTTGTATTGAGGCCTCTGATGGTCTAGCAGAAGTTGTTGGTTGTCACTATTGCTGCAAGTCACACGGGCTTCGCTTGTGACGCGCAGGACCACATCCTGACATCCGAAAAGCCAGTGTTGCAATACCTTGGGTTGGATTGATGTGATGAGTGACGGAGTGACTCTTCTCAATGCAACATGTGGTTGGAAGGACGCAACTCAGATAAGAGTCAGCCTTTGAAGCGACACCGCCACTTACCCTGAACTTCCTGATTCGTTCATGCATTTCCTCAGTGACTTTTACCCAAACGCAGTTATTAGCCCAGTTTATGATGCAAACAAATCGCAACAGTGCAGAGAAATGGGTCAGATCAAGCAAGATGTTCTGGTTTTCGAGCCGAAAAGAACCCACCACAAAGGTACCTGCCAGAATCAGGTCAGGGGTGGTAAATATTATAGATCTCAGCAGCGATGTCAACACGGAAGGCTCCTTCCGTGCCGCGTTATGATATAGACAACCTATGTGGGAGTGAGGGAAGAACGAAACAGTAAAGTAGCTGCCAACTCGGGGGACTTTCGTAAAGCAACCACCAAGGCAACATCGGATCACCACCTCATACTGTATTGTACAGACTTACATGGAATGCATAACCTCTTCCACCTTGTTTCATTTCTGTTACCCTTGACCGTGGCATTGCCTTCTCACACGCAAGCTTGGGTTGAGCCCTAGTCTACACCCCGCCGCCCGCTTCCACAGAACTCGGTGCCACTTTTGCCTCGTTTCCCAAGACCGAAGCACATGTTTCTTACAGTAGACTATTTCGTCATTATCAGTGGGTGTTTCGCCCAGCTCTTGGGCCCTAGATCGAACCATCTCACTTCGCTTCCCGGAGCCGAGACTACTAAACAGGGCTTCAAACTTCAGCTGCCTAGATCCTGGGGCACAGCTAGCCCTATTCGGAGGAAGTCTTGAATACGTGCTCGCATCATTCGCGATCTCCACGACCACCGTCACTATCCCGGGGAACTTAAATCCCGGACCAAATCCGATTAAGTACGTTCTGACGGTGGTGATCACCGTAGGGTCAAGGTAACCCTCCGAACGCACCTCATGGCTGCTGGCACCAGACAGTGTCTGACCACTTTTCAGCCTGCATCTTCGGACCTGTCGGCAACCCTTCCGTTTCTGGATATTGACTGAGCATGGAGTTTCAAAAGAAAGCACCATTCGAGCCCGAGGAGTTTCCTCCGGGATCGCCGCCCGTAATCCGCGAACGTTGCGGCGAAGTTACCTGGTTACCTATGTGCCGCCACACATGCACGTTTGAGACTCAGCATTTCGACATGATTATGCTCAACCTTGTTGAGAACCCAAACCTCAACTCCAAGTGGTTATTTCGTGCAGATGTTCTCTTCGATGATGACAGTCAGACTTCTGCCCCTGAAGCTGACGGTATCATCCAAGGCTACCCTTGGGTTATAGACTTCCAAGGATTCAGCCGGCAGAGAACCATTGTGCGCCGATTGATACCCCGAAACACACTTCGCGATGCTCCATTAGACCAGACATGCTCCTTCTATCACTCCAGTAGTCATAAGGATCAAGAAGCTGACGGGGAAGCCACCCCGTCAAGATCACTGGTCGTGTATATACCGCATACCTCCTCTGCTGCAGACCTACCCTTCTATCACCCAAAGGTCAAGGGTATCAGTCAGCTTCATGAATGGGATGTAGCCACCAACACAGGCACCATATCCGTCCACTTTGCACTCTTTGATCCTGAGACAGGCGAGGAAGAGGTCGACCAAGTAAAATTGGGGAGGATTGCTTACCATCTTCTCCAGACCATCCACAAACATGGTCACAGCACCGCTCGAGGCTACGTCAAGAGAGTTCATCACGATGTCATTGTACCCCGAGAGAGGTTTCAGGATAAGTACTCTGAACTTAAGAACAAATACGCCAGAGCTCTCGTCAAGTCCTGGCTTGAGACTACAGATCCCACAAAACATGTGTTCGAGGATCTCGGTATCGCGGCATTTCTGATTGAGCTGTGGAAAGAGATGTACAGCGATGTGGGCTTTCCAGGATTTGTGGACATCGGCTGCGGAAACGGGCTACTGGTTTATATCCTAAGGATGGAAGGATATGCTGGATGGGGTTTCGATGCCCGCGAGCGTAGGTCTTGGTCTCAGTACAACTCACCGTTCCCAGGATCACCCTCTGGGAATTCCCTCCAGAGGTTGCTCTTACTTCCCAGTGTCATTCCCAGGGAGACAGCTAGTGATGATACGAGAGTCGTCAACTCTGAAAATATTCATGACGGCCTTTTCCCTAAGGGCACATTTATAATCTCCAACCACGCCGACGAGCTAACACCTTGGACACCAATTCTTGCCGCCATATCTCAATGCCCCTTCATCATGATACCATGTTGCAGCCACAATCTTACAGGAGACAGATGGCGAGCACCTCCGCCCCGAGACAGGACCAAATCAAAGAGTATGTTTGCATCTTTAGTCGACTGGGTTACGCAAATAGCGGAAGATTGCGGGTGGAACGTTGAGACGGAGATGTTGAGGATACCAAGTACAAGGAACACGGGCTTGGTCGGCCGAGAGAACACAAGGGAGGTTGAAGAGGTCGATATACACGGGATACTGCAGAAGTACGGAGGAGTACAAGGGTATTACGACAATGTTGTTAAGCTGCTCAAGTCGTCCCCCAGAGGACACTGAGCACACCAACCTGAACACAATCTTGTCCACGCTACCTCAGTCAAAGCTGCCCATGGCCTGTCAAACAGCAAATGAACTAGATATGCAAACGCACCTTGATGCCATACATGCGGCGAATGGGGCTAGAAGGGCGCAGCAGATGATCGTCTAGCCGATCGACTAAGTAACTCCCCACCTTCAGAATATTCGTTCTTGATCTGTCGGTACTCCAGACTGTCCGTGTCCACGGCCTTCAATAGCTGCACGACCTAGGGTATATTAGGGATTGGCGATACGAAAGCTGATTGTCCAATGCTTCCCACACAGTATCGCTCTCGTCATATAACCGAGGCAAATTGTCCGCATTGGTCCCAGAGTGTGACAGTTTCGTTTGCTCATGCATGAGTACTGCAGCCGCTTCTTGATGTGGAATCCACACAAGCCATGTTATAGGCAGGATTAGACACATAAGCCTGGGACAAATGTGCTGGACAAATAAAATCGAGCCATCATTTTGCGATCGCCATCCGGTTCCATGACCTTCATCCTCGCTTAGACGTTCGGCTCTGCTGCCGGGCGGGATGTTTCGATGATAGTTTGCGAGGGTCATTAGTGTTTCGATTTTGCTTGCTCATAGCATGGATTGATTAGTGCGATTCCACGAGAACGGGACAGCCTCATATGAAGGCCCGCCTTTTTCTATCTTGAACAAGAATGTATCCCCTCTTTTTCATCTTGAATTTGGACACGGCACCAGCTCGACCAATTTTCAACAGTTGGCTGCAGCTCCCTTCCCGCTGATCAGCGAAATGCATCATGAACCAGGATGTTATAGCAAACATCATAACACCCCGGTCGCGTTGTCGGACGAATGACAGCAAACGAACCTTCCTTGCACTAACGTTGATGTTAGAAATATCCTCCTGCAGGTAGCCGTTCGCCAAGCGACACTCCCTTATTTCCACCGAGGTTTTGAGACACCTTGGGTGACGGCACAAGGGTCCGGGCTGCCGGAGCGTGGAGCGAGCGAATGATGAACTAATGCAATGCAATGCAATGCTTATCGAGGGACCTCTTCAGGCCGGATGCACAGTATAATGGTGGTATACAGACCGGGCTCACCCTAGGAACCTTGCCGCTCTGCTGCTGCTTATGCGTCGCAGATACCCATGTGGAAGCCAACAGACAGCAGTGCAACTCGACGCTCACATACTTGATCGCCTACGCTACAGCTCCCTCATAAAACATAAGTATAAAGCCGCCGGGTTTCTCCACCGTTATTTCCATCCTCGTCCCAGTGCTCTTATCACGGAATTTCAACAGTCACAAACAAGTGTGCTTTTACTATCCGCTTGAACACCAAACGTTGCATTCTCCTCAACCAGAAGCCCAATAAAACCCACGCCCCCAACCCCTGAAGCCATGTCGCAGGTGCCTTACATCGAAGTCTACCGCTTCAATGACCACATCAAGTCCCTCCAGGAAAAGGCCATCGTGGAAGTGCTCACTTCGACACCTGGAGAGAAGCAATCGAGATTAGGCACGTATGGCTTGGAAAAGCCATGTGCAGAATTGAGTGATGAAGTGATTCGGGGCCTGGTAAGTCTCAGTATATGTAACAATCGAGTGTCTTCTGACCAGATGTAATAGAGTGGACCACTTGTGAGATGGGCTACCAGCCGTGGTGCTGTCATCCAAGATCTCCAGAGACCTTTTTTCCGATCCGAAGCCTTCCGACTGCAGAAAGGCAGCGTCTTGTGGCCGGGATATCATTCCACTGCGCTGCTCGTGCCCTTGAGCAACCGAAATGCGCATATTGAACTGATCCCACGCGGAAGTAATGAGGCCATCATGCATAACTGGGATCCACGAACGGTCATTCACTTGAACGAAATGGGGATCCAGTTTCAGGGAAATGGGAGTGTTCGGTTCATCTACATCTTGTTCCAGACAGCACCCTGCTCTAAACGTCAGGTTTGGTGAATCTTCTATCACAAGAGCTCTCAGCGAGTATGGACACATGGGTTGAGATGGCGGATTCTTTTTATCTATTCAATCTCCACGTGTACAGCACCTCCTAGTTATCAGCGATACTGGATACACACGTTAACTCAGTATCTAAGCTCCCATCCCATTCAACAACATCATCGCGTTCATCGAATTCCATCACACTAGTCATATCAACACTACCATATACATGTATCCTCTCGGTCTCTGGAGGGCACAGGATATGGTAGATGACTTCGTATCTATGAGCAATAGTCAGGCATGAGGATAGAGTCAGCGAGGACACGGACAGACCTTACTCCCACTTGGAGTGCCGCCCCCCAAGCACTTCATAAACCAGAGAGGGTATCTCGAGGTATTCAGAGTTGAGGGGTGTTGTCGGCCGATAGCCTAATGACATCTGCTCTTTAATGAGGCGGATGCAGGCAGGGTTGCAACATTGGAACACTTGGAGACAATTGTGTGCTGGAGAAGACTTAGGGACAGAGTTCTGGTATGGGGAAAATCTGGAATCTTTCAAACTTACCATGCAAAGGAATTTCGTTTGCACGACAGCCAACCACTTTACTATACTCTCTGAGTATTCCGATGCCTGTGATAACTCCATTTCTCACCCTGTCTAACATGGGTAGCGTTAATTCGTCTTCTGAAATACCGCACTGTCTCACACAAGCCCTCAGGCCATTGTACACTTCCTCTCGCGGGCAGCCATCGATGAGCGCAACATGGCAGGCAGCCACGAAAATGAGTGAGAAGAGGGAACCAAGCGGGGGATTGTTGCAAGCCCGGGCAAGATGCCAGGTACATTCGTTGAAGAACCGTGGCCAATTGAGGTGAGCTTGAAAGCCCGGGAACAGGTAGGGTATCTTGAGACGATAGCACAAGGAGCGGACATCGACGTTGTTAGAGAGGTAGCGGGACCAGTCGGCGTCACTTTGAGGAACTTGAGCGAGGAAGTGAAGTGCATGCGGATGCCAGCGACCACGTTCTGCACTGTGTTGGTTGTTATCGGATTCAGGATTGTTGTGTTCCAGATCTTCCAAGTCAACTAAACTGTCTTCATCATCTGTGTCGGTATCCGAAGCAATTTCGTGAGAACAGGCGTGTGGGTCTAGCTTGAGGTCGGAACCTTCACTGGGCTCATGAAGATTGTGGAGCTTAGGAGGAGACTCAGAAACCATGTTCAAGCCCACGTGAGGATACTCGAAGACCCAACGATACTGAAACTGGGACATGGTGGCGGGCTATCCCTTGGGCAAAGCTTGGTGTTGGTAACTGGAAGTAGCCGGACGGCAACTGTTAGGAGCGATAGCTATAGAGCTTGAGGATAAGTGCAATGTTTCTTATGTTGATTGGCGAAGAGTGAGGTGGTGTAATGATGGAGGCTGGAGATGGCGGTTACGAAAAGCAGGTTTCCATCTGGGGAGACTTGGCTTGAATATGTTGCACAAGGAGGAGGATCTCTTCTTTATTCTGGCTACAGACGATGATGCAAACCAGGACATCATTCATCGACTCATAGGTCTTTCTGTTTTCTCCTTCGACTCCCTTGTGTTACGGAGTCTTTCTTTTAGTTGCAGGCATGAGCAAACGAAGAGTCTTACATCTATCTTGCATCCGTTGCCTCGAGTTTCAGTTCAAAACTCCACTATCAAGCGGGAACAACGGCTTTCCTTACGGGACGCCTTTCCATCTCCGCGGGAAACGGCATTAGTCTTGCTGTCGAAGGCCTTAAAGGTCTATCGATGGCGCCGCCACGTTTTCTCTCCGTCTCAGTGTTCTTTGCGCCTACTCAACATCGTTAGGCTCGTGATGATAGGCCCGGCCTCGCTGGGTAGAAGCAAATATGTTGTCAGTTGACTTGTCAGGATAGTAAGGACGATCTCACAGTGGAGAGTTGTCGTCGCCTCAGGAGTCTTGTTGTCCCCTGCAAGTCTCGGGAGGTTGCTTTTTCTAGTGTCGACCAGGGTGAAAGCGCAAACGGCTATCTGCCCCCAATGCATGCAGTTCAGATAAGCTACTGTAGTTGTCGTTTGAACGTGCCATAGCCTACGACAACCGGGGGCGAATCGTGCTTGCAGCGACTGACATCAACCCCCTCGCAGCAGCTCGATTCCTCTATTCTCCAAGGTGCAGGACGCTACGCTATGGGTAGATGCAGACGGCTCGGACTTCCGAGTCTGTCGGTCACCAGAAGGAGAGGGTGCTCATCCTTGCTCATAAATTAACGGCTGAGCTATGATATACTGTCCTGTACGCAGCCGTTTGTTGCGACTCACACCCCAAAGACTATCCAACAGGCATAAAACGGCGATGAACTGATCCGGCAGAGTCCGCCCGCACTATGGGTGTCACCGTTTCTATATCAGCCCTTGTATGGCAACTTGTGCGCCTCGATCGAGCTGCAGCCGGGTCGATGGGCTGTAAGAGAGACAGGGGGCATATAGACCCTGGACGTATCTGAGATCGGAGAAAAAGATCGGGTTCGAAGTGGACTTGTCTCATATCAGATACTTAAAAATAAAGAAAATCGCTCGATGGGTCTGGTCTCGTTAGATCCCGGATACTCCCTTGGCCTTGATTCGATATCCCGCCGATCTGAAGGGCCTCGCTTACAGATCGTTTGCAGGCGGATCCAGGCTAAAGAGATGAGGGTGCTTGGATGAGATCGTGTCATGATCAAGTCATTCGATCTTGGAGTTTGAGGCCTGACCCTTGAATCCTGACCCGAGTCCCCTGCTTCATCCCGTCAATGTTAAGCTAAGCTCCTTCAGTTTATCTTGTGATCCCAAATTAAGAGTTGATTGCGAGATTGAAACGCCGGAGAGGCTAGAAGAGTTGAGTCCAGGCTCGCCAAGACGTGTACTTGCAGGATATGGTTGCTCTAACAAGGGTCCCCCCTGACAATAAGCTGATATGGGTCTGGCTTTTAATTAATTAGTCAAGCTTGTTATTACCGTCGGTACTTGGGCAGACAGAGATAACAAGTCTCTACCGTGTAAAGGCTGAAAGGATACTGACATTTACGCCTACCAATGCAACGCAACTACATATGCATTCCCCCAGACCGGTGAGACGGGATACAGCATGAAAGCGCTTATTTTGTATGCATGCGGGCGGAGTAAGCAAACGAATGAGAGTGACACTGCATGGCATGGCTTGAAGTGAATGACGATCAAATGAAAGGATACAGCATATTCTTGGGTGAGACAGATCTCATCGTTTGCTGCTGAAGCTGCAGCCGCAGCCCGTGAGAACTCATCACATAGCCTACAGCCTACCTGAGGCAACTCCACTTGTCGCCTCAAACTGTCTCAACTCTTGGAAAACGGGAATCGACTTGTAAGCAATGACCTGATGATGTTCCAAAAAAGCCATGATTTGATGCTCTATGCAAGCCTCCAAAACGTACAAACGGGTATTGTACTATGCTGTTGGCCGTTCGTATTGTTGTCTCGCGCTAATGCACATACATACACATGGATGTTCCATACTCACAGCGCTTTACCAGGTTTTTTCAAGGAGGAAACGTGATTACGGTGCTGCAGCTTATTCTTTCGTGCTCAGTTGATCAATGCCCGCTGATTCCATTCCTTGCCATGCCCATGCCATGCTTCCTCTTGCGGGTTGTTACAGAAAAAGAAACGCTCCTCCATGCCCTAGTATGTAAGACAAAGGAAATTGATAGAAGAACAGAAAAAGTAAAGAAAAGAAACTCTCGAGTTCGTGAGTCACACTCGAGTCGCAGTATATTCCGATCCCCCGCTTGGACCTTCGTCAATCTCTCGGTCCATTGTCCTTTTCGGATAGCAACTCGTGGCCTATGTCTGTGTATCTTGGTTGATCTTGTAAGGCGGGACAGCTAGTTTACTATTAGTGTGCTTTCAAGATAGTAGTGAATATATCTTACCCTCAAGATAGTCGATCAAAGCTCAAACGACCATTGCAGGTCGAGTTTCGCATCGTCAAAGTGCCTTAGACTCAAATCTGCTTCTTGTTCTCCTCCTTGTCCCCCTCAGCCTCACCCTCCTTCTTCTCCCCAGCCTCGACGCGGGCGACCGCTTTCTCACGAGTGAAGTGCGACTGCTCTCTCTTATTCTTGGCCATCATACCGGCACGGGAGAGCGTCTCGATGGTGGTTTGATCAGTGAGGCTGGCTGTCATGCGGCGCAGGTCTTCGCGGGTTTCTTCACTTAGAGGTTTCTCCTCGGGCTTCTTGCCATTCTTGTTGTTGTCCGTCATGGTAGACAGTTGGTGAGAGTGATGTATGTATTTTGTAGTAGTCAAATGAAGCTTGAGATGTCGATGAATGATAAACAAGAAGAAGAACGAGATTGTAAGTCGTGACGGTCAGTCTCAAATAGAAGGAAAGTCGCAAAGAAGGAGCGAACGGCGTTGACAATAGAGCCAAACGCTTCATTGAGGTTTCCTCTCATTGACGCAGTGTTTGCAGTATAGAGAGAGAATAATTGCAACAGGGACAATAAGAAAACGAGGGTCTTTTGATAGAGAAAGGTGAACGAGTGTTTGCTTCAATAGTGAAAGCAGGCACTGCTGCGTTCAACCCAATCCCAACAAACCAAGAGTCTATAAGCAGACTTCAACAACGATATCTGAGAATCCGACATGACCATCAAGGGATATCATGGTTGAAAAGGCTGTAGAATGTGCAACGTAACTACGGAGAGCCCGATCATATCAACAAGAGATGCTTGACTGTTCAATTTCTAGTTTATTATTAGGTTCGATGATAACGGCCAATTCCCAGTGTTTTAGACATGGTTTATTATTAGAGTTAGATGACAATTGTCAAATTTTCAGTATTCTAGACACTGAAATGACCGTGCAACACGCCTTGTTTAATGCGATACTTGACCATTGAGTTTTGTGCACTGCAACACTTTCAAGGGCACTGTCACTTACCTTGGTACATGCCAACAATAGTCCGATACGTTGCACGTCAAATGCCCAGGTATTGTGCTCTCATGAGGTGATTCTGAGTGTTTGTATCATAAGTGATGTATTAACTATCTATAATTGTTCTCAATCTGAGGTCCCAAAACCTGAAACTCCAGACATCATTGTTGACTAATTCCTGTATAGCCTTTGTGTTTTCATGTCGCATCTCAATATACTCCAATGGAAAGAATTCGAACTTCGCTTCCTGTACCGGCAGGAGGACCGAAGCATGCTCGATATGTACAAAATGCAAATGTTCAACACCCAGCAGCCAAGCATCGCTGACTGGGCAGAGGGGAATCTGGGTAACTGCAAAACGCCAAGGTCATAATAAAATCCAAATGCGAGTAGTCGGCAATGCCGCCTTGCGAGAAACAATCCAGAATCTCCGTAAGAAGTCCAAGGCGACTATTGTTCAGGTTTTGGCTTGGCCTCTTCTTCTCGACCACCTGTCGAGTCTATTTTCTCGAGTGGCTTATCGTCCACCTTCTGAGCTTCGTTGATGGGCTCCTCGCAGATTGAACTCTGATCTGCCCAGCTTACAGTCCTCTTTCTTCTCTTTGGTGTAGCAGCATTCTCCTCGATCTTGTCTTGCACGATCGCATCTTTGTCCTCTGGGCTCATGGTATTAATACTCACCCGAGGAAACTCGGCGGATTCTCGAGTCGGTGTCATTGGTGGCCGACTACCAGAGTACCTCGATGCTTGCATACGCAGGGAGCTAGTTCGCATGCGACTCATTCGAGATGTGTCTCCCCTATTCATGTCGGCATCCCACTCTGCGAAGTCTTTCGCACTCCACGACGCACGGTGGGTACGGCCACTTCGAGGCAAACTATTGACCGAGTAACGACTCGAGCCGCCACTGTTTGCCCTGCGTCGGTTGAGTGGATGCGCTGGATGAGATGGGACTTGCGAGTTTGAACCCTCTACCATTGGGAACGCATTGTTCTGGGTATTGCGTCGAACGTTGCTGACGCTGAAGATGGACTTGGACAACTCCGCAAGCTCATCCACTTCGTCTTCCTTGGGCTTTGATGTACCTGCTCTATCTTCCATGTGCTCGAAGTACCTTACTCGCAAATCGTCAATCTTCTCTGGGAAATCCTCGCGGTTACGAGACAAAGACATCCACGTCGATATCATTCCGAGGACAATCAGGACCAAGATGGCTGCGGCAAGGAAGCACTGAACTACAAGGATGATCATGCCGATGGCTGTTGCTGCAACGCGGCTGAGGTCGAGGGATTTCAAGAATGCAATGGAAAGGCCAGTGGTGACGATCTTCGAGATCGATAGTAACCAAATCGCCGCTGTCGTGTTGCGAGATCCTTCGAAAGGCTTGAGTTTGATGATAATAGCCAAAGCAACGACTTCAAAGACAAAGAGACCATAGACCTGGGCCAAGGGGCTTGCTCGACCTCCGCCAATGAAGCATGCTCGGATAAACTGATACGCCAAGTAGACTGTAAAGAACCACCATCGGGAGAGTCGGTATCGTGCCGAAAGCCATCCGTAACGTTTGATGTAGGGCTCGTCTTGGTGAACCTTGGGCCTTTCGGGGTCTTTGTCGACAAATTTGATGCGTCGGATAGGCAGGCTGGCAAAGAGGCGTGGTTTGTGAGCCTGTTCCTCCTCGCCGATGGAGCTTTCAAGTGTCGTTGCCACAAATGGAATTTTCTTGAGGATCAATCCTTGCTCAAAGCGAAGCGTATCGGACACAACCTCGTACTTGCCCTCGCGTAGCCTGGATGAGCAAGCATACGCTGTTAGACCAGCAAAGCCCAGGAACATGACGAAAATAACTGCAGCAATAGCAGTCGGGCCCGGTGGAGCGTTGATAGAGAACTGAAACATCGCCAGTGTCATCATGACGAAGAAAGCGATAAAGAGCGTTCGAAGTAGGCCCGCGGCCATGTATCCGAGCCAATGTGAACGAAAGAAGTCGAAGCCATCGGACTTGATTAGCTTGAATTTGCGGCACAAGTCAAGCACGAGTTTGGACGATGCCACAAATAGAGCCACGGCTGCCAGGACAACAAGAAACCAGATGAGACCAATGATGAACGCGTCGTTTCGAGGGATGCCGACCACAGACAGTACACCAGGGAAGCCAGAATAGTCACCTGGGAGTGGCATTCCAGGATTTCGAGGCTCACCAGCCCAGTTATAGTCATATGGGTTGTTAGGGTTGAAATCGTGGCGACGGGTTAACGAGTGAACAGCACTCTCCAGTTGAGGAACAGATCGACTTCCAAGGCTTCGGCCGAAGATCTGCTGCGCAAGTCCACCACCGTTGTTGATGGGAATCGACCCTGCAGAGCCAACTTGACTGGCATTCCCAGAGACGCCAGCAAATGGGCTGATGGCATCAATCATGTCGAGGCTTGCAAACATGCCAGCTGTCCAGGCGAAGTTACTCCACCAAGCAGGAAGCAGGGCAGGCCAGTTGACAGATAGTGCCCCGGAAAAGAAGATTGATTGAAAGGTCTCAAAAATGATCAGAATCGAAAAAGAATGGGCGTAGTGCATTCTTATATGCGGGATCTGAACGCCATAGATGGCTGTCGCAAATGAGGCCAATACCGCAAACACAGTGAATACTCCCAATATTGATCCCACAATTTCAGGCTGTGAAAAGGTCCTTCCGTTACTCATAGTAGCTTGGAAACATCCAATTTCTGTCTGTGTTGAGTTGGCAAAGATCCGGAGGCGCGAGTATCCTTCCAGGTCGGGAATGTTGAGAGCAATCGACGGGATACCCGCAATGTCATTGGCAGATATTGAAGTTGTAATGTATGCCTCGATGGGTTCACCGGCCTTCAACGGGCAAAGGCTTGTGACGTTTTCTGCGCACGGGTCGTATGTTTTGTTAAAACGCTCTTCTCCGTATACCTCAATGGAAAGATGCACTAGAATCTGGTTAGACTATTCAGGCAGGGCGTAATAAAGTTTCGCAACATACTCATGACACTTTCCTGGCGAATGTTGGTGCTCCCATAGACGTGAAACGACACAGTGAGGTTATCAGAATAATAGGCCGTGTCGAAGCCCGTCACATTGAACAGGCTTCCATCATTCAGACAGTCGTCAAAGTCGCCCGTATATAATGATGGGGTCCGGCTAACATCGAGACGTTCGTGAAAAACTCCATTGTCGCCAGTTCCGTTGATGTAAACCTTATCTTGAGCGCATACAGTTGGTATAACGCTCAGGGCGGAGAGGAGGCATGACAATGCTGTGAGAGGCCGTTGTGTCGCGAACATCTTGACGATGAGATGTGGTAAGGGGGTCGGAAGATGCGGAAAGCGGGCAAGCCCGCCAGGGCAGTTTTCACGATATCGTCGTCACTCTCTTTGGGATCGAATATTATCGTGTAGGAGTGAAGGGAGTGTGTAACGTCGTTGAGGAGTTCGGTGGTGGAAATTTGGTCGATTCGGGCATGTAGATCAGGAACTGCAGGTCTCAGATAGGTAGTTGACGTTCTCGAGCAATATTTTGACAATTTCGCATGCGGCTATAACGGCGTAAAGGGGTTCGTCGCAAAAACGTAAACGAAAATTTGTCGATGATCGAACATACGTAGGTTGAACTAGGCAGAGGAGGGAGAAGAAGCCAAGTTACTCGCGGGAGATTAACGCTTGGTGTTCTTTGTGCCAATGCAAAATCTCGTGTTTGTTTGACGTAGGTGTGACCCCCCAAGACTTTGAGAGACACAACAGTGGCGCAGCGGCCGGGAGAAGCCACTAAAGATCGGCAACCTCACGGCGGGCGGGAATTAAGGTTGACGGGATGGTAGCTGCAGGGGTTTTAATTAGAGGAAAGATTCGAGATTTAATTCGCAACAGGCCGAGAGAGAGGTATTGAATTCAATGAGAGACAAGAGCTTATTCTGTTTGAGTCAAAAGAAAAACAACGGCAATTTGAGACTAGACCAAGTATTGAATCTTGGTAAATGCACGGAAACAGGGAAGGTTGGGATTAGATCTTGGAGAAGTTTGATCCAACCACATTTTCTGGGCACGCACTAAATTTGGCGTGAGCAGTAGCGAGAATACTTTCAATTTACCTGACCGCGCTTATCGTTTTTCGGCATCTTCTTCCATCACGACATGTTCTAGACCCGAACCCCAGACAAAAGTCCTCTCTTGATTGATGAAGTCCTATCTCTCTAAAGGTTGATATTTCGTGCAAGATAATCAATTCACTCAAATTGCTGCAAATTGCTCACACCGAAAGTTCGTTCTGAGTACTCACTACACGACTCAGTATAGCAAGGTTTT